AGAGCGGTTGATTAGTCAATAAATTAATCTAATATTTGTAATTTTGATGATGTTAGACTTTTCTTTACTTTAATAGCGTAATTTTTAATTAATTGTGTTGCCCCTTCAATTCAACCAAAAAAAATAAAGATGACATGAGAATTGAGAATTGATCCTGCTGTTTTCAAATTCATAACGATATATGAGTCTGATTTTAAGGTGCCAGCTATGGCTGCAGATCATCAAATATAGTCACATTCACATTTCAATCTTTCTTGGTCAATTATCTGTCTTGCACTGAATTTCATAAATTATATCTCCTATGCAATTTTTTTTTTCTATTTTGACCAACGACTACACCATGTACTAGTCCTAGTTGACATGAGCACCTGCGTTACCCTCACCCACATGCTGCTGCTGCTGCTGCTGCATATCCTAACTCATTACTCATTATCTTGGATTTAATTCTTATTTTTCCATCACGCCTCACCCAAAATATAAAAATCAAATTTCTTCTATCACACATATTTTCCACTATTCATTTTTCTTTGCAACAGTTATGAGGTATGACTTGTCCTTGTTCATCTGAAATCACTAGCCCAATTGCATTAATCTCTCAAAGTGAAAAATGACCTTGTATTCAGTTCTCTGTGTCCAGTCAAAGGAGGTTACCAAATGGAACGAACACACAACATTAATTCCCACCATCACCCAATTATTCTTTCTATATATGAACATGCAAAGACATGAATTTCTCTGATTACTTGGTGAGCTTCTATTTTCTTATTTTAGTTTGGTGCTGAAAACCACACAAAAGTTTATGGTTGCAAATCCTGTTCTTGCCCCCACTAGCATGAAGCACGAAGACCCCACTTAGAAATTTTTGCTAGGAGGAATCATTTGACCAATTGATTCATTTGTTATTGTCCTAATAACGACATAAAATTCCACACCCAACCACCAGAACGGAACCAACACAAAGTGTCATGCTATCGACCATCCAGCGAACAAGAAATTAAGACTTTGGAACGATCTTCATGTTACAAATTTCAAATTGAATGTTCGTATTCAAATTTATCCGATTTAACTTAACTTCTACGATCATCCGTCTAGAAAAATCCCAATTACAATTTTGTACGCATGTGTTTCCTTAATAAGGTGCATTGTGCATATATTATAAAGTTGTTAAATTCATTATTGGACCAGAAAGAGACCTAAAAATGACAAGGGGTTAAGAAAATAGTAATAACTTTGTAAACAGGCTCCGGGTTTTAATTATTTATTCTTACGGAGTTAAGCTACAAATCACAATGGCTTTTTAAAATTGAAAGAGTCTTCCCATAATTAAGATCCTATTCCTAACAAGAAAGTATCACAGCACCAACAGTAGTGTCATCTTCATCTACATACTTTATTTTAAAAACCTTGATTTCGGATTATGTTAAAAATATGCGGATTAAGATTTTAAAAAGGAGATAGTAGACATACTCGTTTTTTGTGTACTGAAGAAGCAACATAAATCAATCAATCACGGAATAAAACAAAACAAAATGTCCTAATGAATTGTGATCTCTTATCATATATATAGTATGCTTAAAAATTATATACAATCTTCGTAGACTCAGCAATAAATTCTGCCGAAGTAAGAGGAATCAATCTCATGTCGTGCAAGCCATAAACCAGACAGGTTTCCTTTTGAAATTGGCAAGAGATGAGGAGATTAAAAAAACTCATGTGTAACATCACACACCCTTTCCCTTTCTTGTTCTTATCCAATTCAAATACGACCTTCATGCAATTGTACTTACTTTTAAACTATTCCCAGTCAAATAAATGATTACATTCTTTTACTCTTTATTGAGTCTGAACCTTTGTAGCCAAAAACATAGTTTTAGGATTTTTTTTTTTTATATATATACATATATCTTTCCGACAGAGGTGTCACTATAAATCAATATTGTGGCTCAGAACCCTTTGAAACTTGAAAGGTACCTTTCAATTTCAGAAGTAAGTTTGAGCTTGGTTGTTGTTTGCTTGTTGTGAATGCGTTCGACTGTGTAAAAGATTGATAAGCAGTTAAGGTAGTGATTTTCCGTTGTCACCGATCAGAGAGAATCTTAAGGGAAAAAACATAAGAAATTCTCGACGAGGACCACAAAATATTACAGACTAGGCTAGATCAGCATTTTCATAATGCACCTTTTAGGTTATGACATGTAGGACATTACTATAGATGATGCAGTTCAGGTCCAAACAATGCATTAAAATTTGCCTTACCTTTTTCTTTTCTTTTGTTATACCAAAAATATTATTTCTTGGTTATATATGATTCTTTCACTTTCACCTTTCGCTTTCTGGGATTCTTTTTTCTCTCCTCAATTAGTGATTGATGTTGAGGACAACGTTGTATAAGAGATTTTCTAGATACTTTCAATTTTTTATAATTACTAAAATCTGTATCTGATTTAATTAAGTGTGACTCTACAGTTAATAACCCCTACTAGATTCGGGACCAACCCTATGAAATCCCTTAGAATGTGCCAGACAAAGATTATTTACAAATGCAATTTGTAATAATAGTAGGCCTTGATGCTTGAAATGTTGTTTTCATTAGCTGCGGTGTACAAATTGTTTTGGAAATGTGCTTAAAATAGTTCTGCATAGCTTAAGGTTAAGGACATTCGGAGGTTGGTTTAGTATTCTAACTGAGGCCCACTAATTATGTTGCCACCAATTAAATAAGGAATGATGTTCTACCCAGTTAGAGACCATTGGGTTGAATTGACATTTGTATGTGCATGATTCATGGACATGAAATTCATTAAAGTCCAAGTATTCACATATTTTCTGCCAAAATCCAAGTTGTGGGTGAATAATTTATTTATAAGTCTTCTTCTGAATCATGCATTTTGTAACCAAATAAAAAAAAAAAAAAAAGAGAAAAGAAAAAAGAAGAGTGCAAGACTAGGCAAACGGAGTTTACAAGTCAAACCTTTTGAGGCAAAAGACTTGGACCCTTCTGCTCATTGAATGGCACAAAGACTTGGACCTCTTCAAAGATAGGTGTAGTCACATAGGATGGGTCCTAAAAGCAGCAGAACATGCGTGCTCTAGCTTTGCACCTAATGACTTTGCCTTGTAAAAGAACCCAATTTTCTGACTTACACCACCTCTTTTTAATGGCTCTCTGTAAAGAAAGGTAAAGCAGCGGATAGCCCTTACGTTTCCTTTGCTCTGCATTTCGCTCTTTTTTATGAACCTTTCTTTTTTAACCCTTTTATCTTTCGTTTTCTTTCCTTCTTTTCCTTTTCTCCCCCCTCTCCCTTTTTGGAAGTTTCCTATCCCCATCCCCCCACCCTTCCATCTGTTGCATCTGTAAGACCCACAATACTATCCAATTCCTTGCTCAATAATAATAAGCTCCATGTTTTAATGATTTGTTTATAATCACAAGTTCCTATCATATCATTCGAGTACCCAAATAATTTAAACAATGGGATTAACCACAAATGTTAAATGTTCTTATAGTCATTCAAAATCTCATCGAATAGCCTTCCTTATATTGCCCATATCTTAAATTTACATACAACAAAAATTAAAAACCAAAAAAGTAAAAATTGCCCATACCTTGATAAAAAAAAATAAAAAAATACCCTTTCTATTGAAAATCTTAAACTAAAAATGATTACACGAGTGAAGCAGAGATATAGGTAGAACACAGAGGGAGAGGAGTATTTGATGAATGATATTACGGTGGGATCAGAAGTGGGCCAAAGAAATCTCAGTTTTCAAATTTACCTGTGGAAGTCTGATGAAAGAGTGAAACGTTTCGTTCAGGACTCTGTATACCTCCAAGGACTGAGCCTGAGCCTGAGGTCAGAGACACTGTGCACTTACTCAGTACCTTTCTTAATTTTTTATTATCTATTCTCTCCCCCCAGTCCCACATGCCACATGGTGAGAAAGACACAAACAATGAATTTTAGAAACCTAAAAATAAAATAAAGAGAGGAAAAATGAAAACAAAAAGCAAAACGGTTCTCTCCAAAGTCCAAAAGCAAAAGCGAACCCCTCCTCTGATTCCCGAAGAAAGCACCGTATTCAATGCTTACACAAGCAGCATTAAACGAAGTGAAAAGCTAAACCTAAACCCTCTTATTTCTCTCTCTAACACATCCTCTTTTTTATTTAGTTCGTTCACCTAACTGTCCCTATAAAACCCAAAACAAAACCCCACACCACACCACACCCAAGTCCCACATCTCTCTAATCTTTCCTTTCATGGACGCTCTGAACTTCCTCAAGTTCTGGAGACACGCCACCATGACCACTTCCTCCGAACCTCATCTGGTCGTCGAAACCGACACTGAATCAGACGAAGACGACTCATTCTTCGACTTGGAGCTCACGCTACCCGACTTCGACAACTCCAAAGAAACGACAACAACAACAACAACCGAACCCAAAGACAACGATGTTATGCCTAAGCCTAAGACAACACTTCCTCTGTCTCCTCCCGAGCCTATCTCCAAACGAAAGATCCTCCCAATCGAGCCTATCTCCAAGCCTCAATCTCCCATTGCGCTTCTCAGGTCCGCGCCCAGCTTCAGAATCTTCATGTTCAGAAAGCGGAACAGAATGCCTCAACAGAAAACAGAACACGAACCCAAGAAGGAAGCTAAAGTCTTCGCGGTGAAACTCCACGTTGACGATTTCCGTTCCTCCCCCGCGCTCAGCAGAGACAACAGCACCAGAAGCTTCGGGAGCAAGGTTCGGAGTTGCAGCCACGAGGAGCCGAAACCGGAGCGGTTCTCCAAGGAGGTGCTGCGGAAGTACCTGAAGCTGATTAAGCCTCTGTATGTTAAAGTCTCGAAGCAGGGGGAGGGGATGAGGGTGGTTTCGAAGCATTTGGGGAAGAGTAGGTCGGCGTCGTCGGCGGTGGGCGGAGTTGGTTCTCCGGCGAATAGGAGCGATGATACGCTGGCGCAGCAGCATGATGGGATTCAAAGCGCCATTCTTCACTGCAAGAGGTCCTTCAACTCCAGAGGTAATTTTGTTTCACTAAATGTAAATTTAATTGTGATTAAAATTGTAATGTAATTATGGTTTTTGGTATTTGCAGAAGGATCGATGTATTCGGTGAGAAGGTCTTTCGAGGGGGCAAAAGTGTAATTTTTGTAAAGAAAAGGGAAAGGGAAAGGGAAAGA